ATATTTTCGCCTCTGCCAGCCAGGCAGCTTCTGCTGCAGCTCCCCGAGCAGCCCAGCCGCTGGGGCATGAAAGCAGCCCTAGTCAGTAGGTAAATGAGTGGGCGTGAATAAAGTGCCAGTAAAACTTGATTATGAATAGTGAAATTTGAGTTTCAGATCATTTTCATCCATCACAAGTTAGTAGCTTTTGATCCCCCCCCCCCAAACCATTTAAAAATGTAAAAACTATTGTTAACTTGCATCAGTACAAAAACACAGGCCCTAATTTGCCAACCACTTTCCAGCCTCAGAGCTGGAACGGCGACCAGAATGGAGTCCCTGTCCCCCGGGCCGTGCGTTCGGGCACACAGGCGCCGCTGACTCTGAGAACTGAGCGGATATTGCGTTTCCTAGACGGAGCCAGCCTTCCTTATCGGACTGGCGACTGCAGTGCTCTACCTCCCTGACTCTGCTGTGAATTCGGCACATCACCCTGCTACTTAGTCACGTCCTTGTTGGGAGAGAGTCTTCTAGATCGTGTTGACTCCCGGCCTGCAGTCTTGTACCCGTGTGACACCTCACCACCTGAGCTGTCCCAGGCCGTGGGGTTCGGTGCTGAGTGGGGTCTTTCTGGAGCCTCAGGCCTGCGGCTCCGGGCCCGAGGGGGGGCCTCTGCTTCCCAAGCATAGAAGTTCTGGGGCGCTCATTGCCACTGCCCCCTTCGCGCCTGTGCCCAGACTCCAGAGTGCCCTGTGGAGGGGCCGGCCAGCCCCGCGGAGTCCTCTCTCGAGTGCTGACTGCAAGGCTCTCTCGAGGCGGTTTGTGGCGCACAGGCTCACGCCTCGTGTTTGCAGTAGCTATGGAAACTTTAGAAGCCGGCTCTCTAAAGGCCGGCTCACAATGAAGCACTTCACGTGTTGGTTGGATTAGACTTTAGAAGATGTTTAATTTTCTCCCCCCACTCTCTCCGTCTGTCTCTTTAGAGAGAACAAGAGGGCAATGTGAATATTAACTGGGACTCCCTTTAATCTCCCCAGCGACCTTGGGGCCGTCTAGGGCCGCACCGGCTCTCACAGCGGCTAACGAGGGGAGCCATGCATATTCATGAGCCAGGCCCGTGCGTGAGACGCCGCTTGTAAGGGCCTGTTCCAGTGTTTTCTCTTTTCAACTCAAATTTTATGAAAGAAACGGCCGCTAAATTTGGGCTTTTTAAATTATGATTAAGTCAGAGCCTCTAGACGGTAGTGTCCGAGCCTTCTGCCTGGAAATCGGGACAGAGAGAGCACGTCTGTGTGGCATTTAATTTACAGATGGGACAACACAGCCCCGAGAGCAGGTGCTCGCCGAGGGCAGGGACGCAGACAAGCCTTTCCTCTGGGCTCGGGACGCCGTGTTTGAACCTCACGAAATCCCTTCAGGAGGAAATACGACTTCACATCTATAAGAATGGGAGACGTGCGTTTACATGAAAAGTTGGAGGGGGTGCTGTTGGGTTATTTCTGATGTTCGTGGTGTGGGAGGCGCGGACTCCAGCGCGGGGCCCCCCCTCCCCGCCTCGGTCCCTCCACGATCTAGAAGACTCTCTCCCAACACGCACGCTGTCCCTGAACAGCACTTGTGGGAAAACCAGACCTGCGTTTTCTGCTCTGGGTGTTACTGCTGCTTGTATTCTGTTGTCTGTTGGGTGGCTGGACCGTGAGTCTGTCCCTCGAGACGTTCACGACCGCTGCGTTGCGTTCCGGAGCCGTGCTGGCCCAGCCGGGAGCAGCCAGTCTGACCGTCGGGGACCTTCGCCCTCTCCTCCTCTGTGCTCCCCTTCTGCTGTGTGCAGAATGGCGGGGGTGGGGGGCAGGATTTTAGTTTCCAGGCGCTTCCAGGGCAAAGTGCCACTAGGCTACTGTGGCAGGACTTTCACAAGACGCGTTGGCCGCCTCCCCATGACGCACGTGATAGCTCTGCCTGCGCCGCGTGGGAGCTCCCCCGGCGCCCCTTGTCCAGCGCCCTTTATGACCCCACGCACGCAGCTTCCTTGCCTGGCTTGTGCTTCTATTGGTTTCCTCTCATCTGGTCTCTGCACCCTGCAAGGCCCTGAGTCAGGAAACCACAGCGAGAACCGGAAGGGAAAGCACGGCTCCCGTGGGTCACCGCTGTGCCGCCCCGGCCCCGCCCGCGCGGCGTGGGAGCGAGCACTCCGGCCCCGTGTGTGGAACGCAGGCCAGTCACACTTGCTCCTGAGGAGCTCGCCGGGCGCCCGGGTGGACAGGTAGGAACAGACCGTCGTGGCTTAGAGCCCGCAGCCCACCGTGTGCCAGGAGCCAGACCGGCTGCTGCAGGCGCAGACGTGAGTGCGGTGGCGCTCCTGCCCTTGAGGCTCACCCAGGTGACACAGTGCAGGGGACCAGCCGCTAGAGACACCAGCAAGCACTGACGTCGTGTTCAGGAGCAGCGCCTGGATGCGAGGGGCGCCCGGTGGGAACGGTGCGCAGTGACCCTTGGCGGGTCTTGTTCCCCGTCACGTGGTTTGATCATGGATGCTCTGGATGACAGTTCGTTTCTGCCTTTCCTGTGGCCGCTCCGGGCTGGCAGGGGCTCCTCCTCCGTTGCCAAGCCAGCCCCCCACCCCCTCCCCCTCCCCGATTTCAGGAGCTTTCAGTACGACTTCAGTTTCCCTGCGTTCAGTTCTGTTTCCGTGAATTGACGGGAAGCTCTAGAAAGCAGTGCTCCACTCCCGTCGTTTAGCGCTCAGGACTTCCACACATGGACTAAAATTCCTCAAGCTCGCATATTTTCTTGTCTACGCTCACTCTTCAGTTGCTCCCTGATCACTGCCTCCCCATGTGGTACAAAAAGTGAGGAATTTGTAGAATGACGTCATTCTGGAAGAAAAATTACTTGCGGCAGACGATTCATTGTTCAGAAGTTCTCTGACACGTTAGAAGTGGTTGTCACCCAGGGTCCTCATTTTCATCCTTCACACTGGTGCGGGGGGGTCGGTGACTGTGGGCAAGGGGCAGAAAATGATTCAAGTGCCTTCATGCACTTGAATATTTGTATGGATTCTGTGTCCAGAAAGGAAATACAGCCGTATAAAGGGCCTGGGCTTTTTCATCGAAGGGTGACAGATAAGTGGCAAAGGGACATTCTCCCACCCAAGGGAGACAACTGATTCTAGAATCAGTATCAGCCGGGTGCCAACACTTCCGGTTCTGTGCCGTCTGGAGCAGGTTACTCATTTATGCTCACAAGTGGTTTTAGGGACAACCCTCCAGAGGCCACAGCTGGGAGAGCCTGGCCGGCATGGACGGTCTGTGAGCCAGGGAGCACGGAGCACGAGGGTCTCCACGACCTTGTCAGGGCGGGGGGGCAGCCAGCACGGGTGTCAGAGGGACTGGGGTGGAGCAGCCCTTTAACCCCGAGAAGACATGTCCTGAACGTGAAACCGCCATATTTTCTGTGCCTCAGTTTGTCTGACTTTGGTGGACAGGCCCATTTTTTTTGTTTTGTTTTGAGCTTTTCTTTTTTTAAATGTTTATTTTTGAGAGAGGCAGAACGTGAGCAGAGGAGGTGCAGAGAGAGATACAGAATCCGAAGCAGGCTCCAGGCTCTGAGCTGTCAGCACAGAGCCTGACGCAGGGCTCGAACCCATGAACCACAAGATCATGACCAGAGCCATAGTCAGACGCTTAACCGACTGAGCCACTCAGGCGCCCCACCTTTGAGCTTATTGAACTAGGGAAATAGTTTGATTCACTTTCTTTCCCAAACACTACAAGAAAGAACCACAGGCTTTCTCCTGTGGCTTCCTCTGTCCAGTTGAGGGAGCTAGAAATGTCTGAGCACTGGCCTCACCACTCTGCTGGGAGTTGGGACAGGGTCACAAGTGTAGACCCTTCAAGCTCAAGAGCCTGGTAGAATTTGGGGCCATAGATGCCCCCATTCAGACACCAGAAATGCCTGCACGGGAAACATCTGGTGATCGGGGAAAGGATTTTGTTTTTCTTGCCAGCTTCCATCCGACGGTGAGCAGGGAGGTGAGCAGGGAGGCCTTTCTTTTTTTGAGAAAGTGTGGGCGCCACCCCAGGTGTTTTGATGTTCTCTCCGGACCACTACAAGGTGCCAGGCCCCCTGTATTCAGCATCTCCAATGTGTCCCTGGATCCAACGCTGAAGACGCATTGGTACCCTTGGCAGTTTCTCTGCAGTTTTTTTATAGAATGACATATAGCAGCAACTTAATGCTTCCCGATTCTCAGTCCCTAAATAAAAGACCTCAGTAAATGCAGTGATTCTGTCATCTTCCCGTCTTCCGTCTGCTGTGACGGACGCTGTGCATGCTGTGCAGAATTAGGGCTGGGGCCCAGCAAGGCCGAGAGGGTGAGGTGCCTTCTTGAGAGCACAAGTATTCAAACTAAACACAGAAAATCCTTCAAAGGCCTTCTGGCTTCATCTTTCAGATGCGGCAGAATGAGGGAAGTTCCATGGCGACTCCTAGGAAACAATTCTTACTTATAACTGAGCTTGCTCTGGACGAGATGAGCCCTCTGTCTGCTTCTAACTGGGCATCTTTGCGACTAGTGCCCTGGTGTCCGATTCTTTCCCCGGTGGCTCAGTAACATCCCCCAGCGTGCATGCATGCCTGTGTGTGTGTGTGTGTGTGTGTGTGTGTGTGTGTGTGTGTGTGTGATCATAGACTGCAGATGTGCACGCACGTGTGTGTGTGTGATCATAGCCTGCAGATGTGGCTTCTCCAGGCTTTTGCCTCCTGGCTCATTCATTCAGCAGATCCTGGCTGAGCACCTCTGTGCCTTGTTGTTGGACATCACCCACACGTATGTGGGACATACGTATACGGGGCGTGTATCACATCTTTTTGATCATTTCCCCCTCGGATGTGTGCCCAGCGCATACGCCCAGGGAAACTTGTTCACCCGCGCCGTGTGCCTCCACCTCCTTCCCCATCATGCCCGTGTGGACTTCCGAGTCGGGAAAGTGTGTTGGGAGATTCCTTCACCTCACTTTCAGTCCTGACCCAGTGGGTGGTGTACGCCATCCGAAACCTGACGGAAGACAATAGTCAGAACCAAGATTTGATCGCAAAGATGGAGGAGCAGGGTCTGGCAGACGCCTCCCTACTTAAGAAGATGGGTTTTGAAGTTGAAAAGAGGGGGGACAAGCTGATTCTGAAATCTACCAGTGACACACCTCCCCTGGTGAGTACGGGGCGGGGGGGCTGATGGGGGGAAGCATGCTGGGGGGGGGGGCCAGTCTGTACAAAGCAGCTTCCACCCCCACCCCACCCCACCCCCATTACCTTGCCCATGCAGAGGGTTCCTTCCTGAGAACCTGGATGGGAGTGTTTTGCCTTCTAAGATGGCCAAGGAAGCCCCAGATTTAACTGCAAATCATGTTTTGTTCAGGCTTTATGCTGCTGTTTTCTTAAAAACAAGAGGTTCAGACTCGTTTGTGGGGGAGAAATAGAAAAAGTCTGTCAAGATTCCATGTGGTCTAAAAGTTTCTGACGGGAATTGGGTTTTCCTGAAAAGGCAGCTGGGGTGGGCTTTCCCGGGAGCCCCTTTGTTGTGTGAACAGTTTCTCCCTCAGCTGTTGACCAAAAGCCCCTGTGCGTGTGTGTGTGTGTGTGTGTGTGTGTGTCTTCCCTTGGATGATTCTTATAAATAGATCCATTATATAAATAGATCTGTTATATTTGCAATTTTGTTTCTTTTCTCTTCTTAGTGAATGAACTCTCCATTGAAGTATCTGAATTTGGGGAATGCGTTTCATGGACTTTTCATCTCCTGCAGTAGGTCACATTGCCAGCCTTTGAAGATTTGTTAAGTACAAATTCAGGAACACGTGAGTCTTTTAGGTACTAGAGGTAGATGTGTCTAGGCTGGAAAGTGAAAGTAACTTGAGTATTCCCTTGTTTCTTTGCTTTAGAAACGTAACTGTCTGGTTTGCCTTTGTCCCTGTGGCTACATTGTGCATTTAAGTAGCATATTGTACTTACTGTGGCGGCAGAAATAAATTCTTTTCCTGGAGGGTGCATCCCTCATTTGGCAAAACCCGGGGCATTTGCTTGGATTCCATTTGTTCCTTCAGATGGCGAATCAGCCTGATTCCTTTTCTTCTCTGCTCGTTGGGTTTTCTGAACTCTGGCAGGCAGTTGAAGTAGTTTCTCACTGTGATTAATTCTCGCAATCTCTTTTCACCCTTTCTGCCTTTCCAAAACATTGACAAGACTCATTTCCAGCTAATTAATTCGAGAGATGCTGAAGAATAGAGAAGGCCCCTCTTCATTTTAGGGACTGGGCTGTGCTGTCACTGAGCCCAGCCCTTTGGAACGTCGGGGACCTTACAGGCAGTGAGTGGGGAGAGTGTGCGGGCCATTAACTCTTCTCTTTCCAAATCCCTGGGAACCAGACCTCCAGACCCATTGTTCTCACAGGCGCATGCCTGCCCCTTCCCCACTTTCGTGCCTCCTCCATCAAGGGCGCTGTGTGCACAGGACCACGGGATTAAAGTGCATCCGCGTCTCATTCAGTTTCAAAGGCACTGTCGCCTGCAGCACCCACTCCACGTTTCCACCATGGCTCCGCTTCCCGAAGTTGTAAAAGTAGCTTCGGGGACCAGGAGCTAATCTGACCTACATCTGTCTCTTTCTGTCCTTCTCTCTCTATACACATACTTCTGTTAGAGGCGGAGCTGGATTAAACGAGCACTGGAATCTGTGTCGCTGCCCAGAGCACTGATGTAGGCAGCAAAGAGCCCCAGAGCGAGGTCAGGTATGAATGCGTAAAATGTTCTTGAACAGCCGTGTCGCTAACCTGTCTAGATTTTGCACAGTCCCTGTTAAATCTTCCAGAATAAAAGCAGCGAAGACCCAGCCAGAAGTTTCGCAGAAATACTGATTGTTCCAGAGTAAAGTGCTTCTAAGTTTTCTGTAGCCCTGCATAAATTGTTCTGTAAAAACAGCTTACGCATGTTCAGAATGAAATAAAAGTTGTCCCACGTGCTAATGTACTCTCTATTTCTGAAGCAACGTCAGCTTCCAGAAATGTAGTAATCTGTAATATTGGGGGTTTTTTTCTCTCGTTTATGACATTCCATCAGTAAAGAAGCCTTTTTTCAAAATTTAAAATGCACAAAGAAACTCTTTCCAGGACACAAAGAGTTAAACATCCTGTTCTCAAATAGAGGCCCTCCAAAGGAAAAAAACCAGTGGGGGTCCCTTTTCCCTTTTAACAAGTCTGCGATAGACACTTCTTTTTCTTCTCTCAATGGATGTGTGCACACCAGTGGGATCAAACAAACATGCCGGGATAAGCCGTGTAATAACAAACACAAATAAACAAAGGGGAGCCTTGTGTGGGAACACAGAAAGGGGTAATGGCTGTGTGTTTTCTAACTAGGAAATGTGGGGCTTACAGAGCACAAACATGCTGACAGCTGCATTGTGGCCGCTCCGGTGCCCTGGACGGTTAATCCTCCACCACAACCGGCAGCCTCCCGGCCTCCACCCAAGGCCTTGGCGATTCCAAGAGCCTCGTTTTGCATGCTGCAGAGGATTAAGTCACCACCTCAGTCGGTCATGTAGAAGAAGAAAGGAAGGCAGGCCAGCCTTACAGCGTTTGTGAAGGGACGGAATGGCCACGGCAAGTTCAGTGACCACATTACTGCTTCTAAGAGCAAAGCGACAAAGCACCTCAAGTTTTCAGCCTCTTTCATTATGAAAGATGCAGGGGAGGCTTGGTTTTGTTCAGTTCGTTCACGATGGATGTTGATAATTCAAAAATACATATTTTCACAATTGTAGTAAGGTACTATTAGGATTTACACATCTCCGTCTTCATACATCTTGTAGGTTTGCTTAAGATACTGAGATACAGTTTTGTTCAGTAACTTTTGCATCTAGCCACAGAGCCTTGGAGGCTGCTGAAAGCTGCCCATGCTGCAAAATGGGATAAAGAGAAATGATTGTGGTCATTTGGGCCACCCGTTGGGAGATTTTAAATTAAAAATTAACGTTTTACATGTGTATACTTTATGCCCAGTATCTACTGAAGGTATCAATATCCTGATCTTTTCACCACACCTGGGACCTAAATGTTACTCTGATGTCATTACTGTCTTTTTATTTCCATCCCTGAATGAACGAACAAAGACGTTGTAATAGAAACGCCAGTGTGTGCAGAAGGACTTTAACATACGTGCTCCTCATCAGTAAGTTCAGCACATAAAGGAACCAGTTTTTAAGTGAGAGTCATTAAAATTAAGACAGAATTGTAAAATGCAGAGAAGTTGACATTTAACCTAACATTTAAAAAGTTAATACAAAAGAATCCTAACGTTTAAGAGCTAATACAAATCCAGTCCAGTCTGGGGGGGCGGGGGGAGGGGAGCACAGGAAACAAGCTCCTTTTTTGGTGCTGTCCAAGGTCCTGATCATCTCAGCCACAAAGACCTATATATGAAAAATCCTTATTTTCCAAATTCACATTTTTCCCCTTGAGTTATATGATATAATACCTGTTTTTCTCTTCCCTGCAAATTTTTATATATATACTTTTTTGGATTTTTTGAGTCAGATCTTATTTAGGTGATATTTACAGTATACATTTGCTTTACCATGTATAATATACATGAATTTTAAAGGTAAGTTTTTCCTGTAAATGTAGTGGTTATGGTGTTAAGGCATTCATCAGACTTCCCTCATCACAACCAGAGACAGGCCAATGGAAATACCTTTTGGAGGTTTTGATCATTGTTCATTGTTTCCATTAAAAAACCTTAAATTGGAAATATTAGGTTAAAATGGGAATTTTTTTTCATTTAAACAACATAATATATGTCTTCTAGTCGCACATAGCTGTGTCGTGTTTATTTTACATCAGTGGAGGGAGAGCTTGCGTGATGTTTTATTGCACGGGTCTAATTGTTCCCATCACGCCGTGAAGCACAGCGGTTGAAAGGCACAAACTGAAGTGAGCGCAAGGGTGGCAGGTCCCTGCCCCTCCCTGTGTGACTCTGGGCAGACTCTGTAAGCTCCGTGCCTTCATCTCCTCACCACTAGCGGGGCTCGTGATACCACCAACCCATAGGCATGTCCGAGGATAAAAACTAATGAATGCACTGGGCGGTAAGCATTCATTACTGCCAGTTACTCTTCTCACTGCTGTGACGTGCATCATCCAGCCCTTCACACCTTCACCATGAGCATATCTGATGGAAGCACCTTTTCTCCCGCCCCTGTCTCCACGGTGCTGGACACACAGTAGATGCTCACAGACGTGTTTCATTTCTTTAGCAGATAGCTGTATAATGCCTTCCGAGTACCAGGCAATGCACTACGCACTTTGAAAATATTAATAATGTAATCTTCATAGCAGTGATACGGTATGTTCTAGTACTGACCCCATTTCATGAATGTGGAAGTTGAGTTGCAGATAGCAGATGCTCAATGGTTAATTGCTGTTGTTAATTAGGAGAGAATGAGTGAGGAAGAAAATACATCTTCTTTCCCGGAAGCGTGGAAAATGTAGCAGAAATGCCTGGATTGTGGCTCAGGACGTACAGCAGGGGGCTCTCCACAGGAAGAACATGGGCTTTGCAGTTAGAAGAACCCTAGATTAAATCTCCGCTCCACATAGTGCCAGCTGTGTGGTCTTGAGCAAGTTGCTTAACCACTCAGAGCCTAGGTTTCCTCAAACAGTGTACCAGGCAGGCACTGGGAGGGCACAGCAGTAAAGAAGACAGACCTGGTCCGTGCTCTCATGAAGCTCATGAAAATGACAGAAAATTAACAAGTAAAAAGATAAAACAAGAACAAGGGCTGCACATACTGTAGCGAACGCTGTGAAGAAAACAGACTGACAATACAGATGGTGAATGGGATTGCCTTTCTGAGACAATCCCGTCTGACCTGTGTGGAGAGAGAGGCAGAGCATTCACAGCAAGACAGCGCCAAGCCACCGAGGCCCCGAGAGGGCAGGCTTCACGTGGGCAGCAGCCAGGAGGGTGGCCAGTGGGACCAGTGCCTGGTGACCAGAGAGCAGTGGCATGAGGGAGACTAGGTCAGAGGGGTAAGCAGGAGTCCGATCGTGCAGGGTCTTCGAAGCCGTGGGGGAATGTATCTCAAAGTGCTTGGGAAGTGGTATCCGCAGAGGGATGGGAACCTCAGATTTTTCAGCGCCCACTCTTGCTGCTGTGTGGAAAATGAATTGCAGTGGAAAAAGAGCAGAAGTTGAGACGTGATTTGTGGGGCTGCTGATGATGGCGACTTAGACACGTGTGGGTCAGTGGCTGTGGACAGGTTTGCGTTTGGTCTCTGTGTTGGAAATGGGATTCATAGGCTCTGCTGATGGGTTGTTGAGGATGGGCCAAATGAATATACAAGAATCACTCTTAAAACTTTGTTGAGCAGCTGGGCAGATGATTGTAGGCTCACTGAAGGGGAAAGGTGTGATGTGAAGAGTAATTCTGATGTGGGTTTTGTTTGGAGCAGAGAGAATTCAGGTTCTCTTTTGGGGCAAACTATGTTTGACATGCTTTTGAGACATCCCAAGGGAGATGACTTTAAAAAGCAATTGAGTATAGAAGACTGGAGCTCAGAAGAGAGGTCAGTGCTGGAAATACATGTTTGGAGTCCTGCAGATGGTATTTGAGGCCATGGAGATAAATGAGATTGGCTGGGGCAGGAGTGTGGATAGAGAAGAGGGCCTACTGCAGAATGTAGCAGTCTCTGTGGAAGCCAACTTAACATTATAGCGCAAGATATATCTGTATGTTAATGCATCATCTTAAAAGGAATTTAAGTGGCTGTGTCATCAAAATGTCCATCCTGGACTTAACTGTTGTCTTATTATTAGAACATTTTATATTCTTTTTCTCATCACTACAAGTGCTTTTGTGAACATCTTGGTGCATAGAGCTTTAGTTTGCGTTTTAGGGTGCACACTATGGAAGGTCTCAGAAGGAAGATAAGGGGCTAAAGAAAGTTTTCTTGGAGAAGTATTTATGTCAGAAAAGAGAAGGCACTCCCAAATATATGATGGTTCTGACCAGCCTCCCTGAAGACCACAAAAAAGCAGGCCAAGATGTGTTTAAACCACTAGGTGCCAGGTAGGTCACAAGATACAGTGAAAACTTACAGGGCCAGGATCCAGGAATAGACAGGCTGGGAGATGAGTCCGGTGTTTGGGCCACTTTTTCCTCTAGAGATAATCTGTCATTTCAGAAGGAGAAGCAGAGAGGTCAGGTGCTTATCACAGCCTTGAGGAGCCCAGGTGATGGGAGATACTGCCTGGTAAGCCTCTGTTTCTCTAGGCTGCCCCCCCAAAGGGCTACATCAGAAGAGTGATAGTGAACCGGGAATGGTCAAGAGACTGCACTCGGTTTCACATATTTTCAGGTCCAGAAACTGGGTCTTCGTAACCTGGCGTAGTGTGCTAACAGACATCCTGGATTACTGCCTTCCCGTGTAAATCCTCTCCGGGAAAGGAAGCTACCGTAAGTCTCAATCTATTTGTATGATTTTCCATATATGTCCCCTAGCACTCCGTCAAAAATAGTATGAGGTGACAAGACAACATTATATGAAAATTAAGCCGTTAATAACTAATAGAAGTGAACACAGAAGGGCTCCAGAAAGCACAGTTGTCAAAGAAATTTAAAACAACCTTATTCATTATGTTCAAAGAGATGAACATTGAAGATTGGCACTGAACATGTCTGCAGAAAACAAGACACAATATGAAAGGAAATCAAGTGAAAAGAACTGAAGAAAATATAACCAAAATTAAGAAATCAGTAGTTGATTTTACCATAAAAGATAGAAATTGCAAGTGGAAGGTCAACCAGTCAAAAATATCTAAAATGAACCACTAAGAGACAAAATGATAGAAAATACAGAAGAGGGGGTAAGAGACTTACGGAACAGTAAAAAGGTCTACTGTCTGCATTTACAGTCTAAGAAGAAAGAGAATGAGAGGGTTTGTTTTTGTTTTTGTTGTTTTGGTAA